ATTTTTGTTTCAAGATATGTTCTAATTTCCCTTTTAACTTCTTCACTGATTGAGCATACAGCTTGTTTGCTAAATACAGCATTACCTAGGCTCATGAATTTAATTCATTCCACAATTCTGGTCACAAACTGAATTGGACAAGAATTAATCAAATTCAATGGTTAGGTTGAATGTTGACCTTATGAGGAAATTTGATTTGGTTCTTGTCCAATCTGGTTTTCGACCAGAATCACGAAAAGAATTAAGTTCATGAACTAAGGTATCACCATATTTGTGAATTTTCTGAAATTCCTGTTGATTTCTATTCTCATACCATCGTGATTTTAAAAGAATACATATTCTATTGTTGGGTACAATGTTCTGTATATGCCTTCTAGGTTCATTTGACCTCAAGTGTTAAGTCCAGTATTTCCTTATTTTCTGTCAAGTGATTCTTCCAATAATGAAAGTGGTGAAGTCATTCAAGGATGCTGTACTTCAATTATCTCTGTCCCTTCACATCTTAACATTTGTTTTTTATATATTAAAGTGCTACTCTATTGGATATATATATATTTACATATGTATTCATTCTTTGGAAATATATGTATATATTCATTCTTTGGAAAAATGGACCCCTTTATCATTATATACTATCTTTGTCTCTTTGAAACACTTTAAAGCCTATTTTGGCTAATGTAAGTATTATTTTTTCCTGCTCTATTTTTGGTTTATATTTGTCTGAAATAACCTTTAATTCTTTTGCTTTAAATCTTTGTGTGTCCGTAAAAGTGAAGTATCATGTAGACAGACTACAACTGAGTCTTTAATTTTTTTTAATCTGTTCACTGTTTTTTTTTTAGAGAAGTTAAATTTATATTCAAGGTAAGTATTGATAGGTAATGGCTTACTATTGCTGTATTTTTAAATTTTAAAAACATTTAAGTTTTACTTTTTTCCAGTTCTGTGGATCAAAAACTATTGCTTTTCTTGTTTTGTTTTCTGATTTTTGTGGTTTGCTGGTTTCCCCAAGGAAGGTAAAGGCAATGAGAAGGAAGAGACAGTGCCTTCAGAACTTCATTAAAAGTTTCCCAAAAATACTATCATGGTGTCTTGCTTGCATCTTATTAGCCATAAGTGTCCCTTGCTACCTGGGACTGTAAGGAAAGCAGGGGGAGTGGCAATTTCACTATCCTGAACAGAAAATCAGAATTCTATTTTAAAAGAAGAAAAAATGTATATAGAGTAAGAAACTAGCAGTGTCTGTCCAGTCAGTCACAATTCAGCCCTCATACACTGGGGGAGGAAAGAGATAAACCCACAGTTTAATGTTGTGATAGAAATCAGAATGAAGCACATAAAAGGGTTCCCTAATTTCGAGAGGCCAGGAAGGCTTCCTGGAGGACTGAGACAGGAGGCAGAGGAGTTGGTCAGGAAAGGAGACGGTGCTCAGAAGTTCAAAGGTAACACAGAAAGTAGTTCAGTATTGGTAGGGAAGCATGCACTAGACTTCCGAAGCTGGAAGAAGCCAGAGGATGGATCCCTTAAGTCATTTTAAGGGATTAGTAAGTATCTGCAAGGTGGTGAGGTCCTTTGAAGGGATACCCAAGGGACATTATGGTGGCTTGTTTTAAAACTGGAGCATAAAAAATCATTCAATCTATAGCAATGACTTTTAAGTGTCAATCCTAGCAATCATTCTAGGATACGCACACATTCACCTAGGCCACATCCTCTCATCTTTTGCAAGGGTGTCCACAACTGGCCATTACATTCCCAAGCAGGGCACTAGCTTTGCCTAAACTTTTTAGTAACATACTACACTGTTCTCAACACAATTCTGTGAGATAAAATGCTTCAGGAATTTGGAAGCCTGAAGTGACCATATTCTGTTTTATGCACAATAATGACTTTTAAAGGGTCAAATAATCAAGGCTATAAGGCTAAGTATATACAGAAATCATAACTTAAATGATCTGCATCTTTGAGTACATCATCTAATTCTGGGTGGAGAACTGTTCTCAACAGAAAACTAGACTGTATATTTGATTTGTATCCAGTTTACAAGTTATTCTTGAACAGATGAATGAGTCAACTGCAGTAGCACCTGATACTTTACCACTGTTTTCCAAACAGGTATCTTCGGAAAACAATTTACAAGAGAAAAGACTTATTATAAAAACTTCCTTTTTTAAATGACTGCATGTATGTAGTGTATTTAAATTTCTAGCTCAATTGGTTTTTCAGAGATAAAGGCATTATCATGTTCTCCAGTCAGTTGAAAATTGTCAACCCACATTCCACTTGCATTCTTGATTCCTAGCTATTAGTTGATTAAAAAATAAATAAAACCTAAGGTCTCACTACATAGGCTGGCCTTGAACTATGTATCCTAGATTGGTCTCAAACTTTTGGTGATTCTCCTGACTCAATCTCCCAAATGCTGGGATTACAGGTGCGTGCACCATGCCATTTTGACTCACTGGTCGACAGGTCTGGCTATGTAGTCCTGGCTGGTTTTGGATGTACAGCCTTGTCTCAGCCTCCCAAGGGCTCAGCTTCCAGATATGCCACCATGCCTGGCTTTTATCACATTTCACCATACTACATAGCTTAATTTTATACTCCTGTCTTATCTAAATTTATAAGCTCGAGGAGGGCAGATATTTTTATTAGTCAGTGATGTAATAATAAAAGGAGTTAACAGTGCCTAGAGTGTATAAGATGTTTGTTAAAAGAATGTGCAGCACATGCTATAGTTGTTTTTCATGTGGCAGTCTTCTGCTCTGCCAAAGAAAGGCCAAACTTATCTCTGACCTTTTGCACATTGTTTCTTCTTGTGTGTGTCTCTAAATCCTACCTATCCTTCAAGCAACAAAAGCAAACCAGTAACTCCTCAGGCAGTAATTATACACAAGACACTTCGACTCAGCAAACTGATTTCAAGAGCAGTGCACCTGCCATTCTGTCCTCACATTTGAGGCTTAAATAACATTCATTGCACACTAAAACACGTATTTATTAAGGCATCCCACACTGCTAACTATGCATTTCCCACACTAGTCTACTACACTGGCATAATTCAGGTATTCTAATAACATCACAGGGTTGGATGGATAGTATTTCAGCAAACAGACCTGGGAATCTGGAAAGGCCATTATGAATCATCCCCAAGATCTAAACTTTCCTGAGGAACTGCATCAAGAAGTTTGTTATCTTAGTCTCAATCTTGCATTTAGCCTTTCAATTCATGCCATCTAAAAATTTTTACAACCAATTTTATAGAAAATCTTTTCCCCCCTAGTATTGGGGATTGAACCCAGGGCGTTATACTGAATTACACCTCCATCCCATTTTCCTTTGGGACAAGGTCCAAGTTGCCCAGACTAGGCTCAAACTTGCAACCCTCCCGGCCTCACTCTCCTGGGATTATAGGAATGCACCATCCCCATCCCTGCTATGGAAAGTCTGTTTCACTGCTGACCTTTAGAAAAATTTCCTTTTTGACATTAGATTATAATCTCCACCAGTGTAGTTTTGTGTGGTGGGTGGGGGGGCGTGTTCTGGGGCTCAAACCCAGGACCTACTGCATAGTAACCAAACAACTGTACCAGTGAGCTACAACCCAGCCCCAAACTAGCCTTATCCATCTCCCCAAGAAACTGACCCACAGTTTGTCCTCCAAATAGTGTTGTTCAATGAGAGGGTATTTTATGCCCTTCTGCTGATTTCCAAGTGCATAATTTGATTTAGGTCATTGTACTGGACATGGCAATAAGACAGAGGTAGATAGTCAGTCTAAAACTCTGGAGCCAGTGGCTGGAATTTCGGATTATGTCAGGCAGAATCCTAAATTGGCTCCCCACAATGCACCATCTTAATTCCTCAATGAATGAGACATCACACTTGTGATTATGTTACATTACATGGTAAAGGTGATTTACAAAGGAAGTTAAGATTATAACAAATTGACAAAGCTTACTAAAAGCAACATTGTGGTAGGCCTGATAGAGTCGTAAACTCTTTAAAGTACTTTATCTGGTTTACAGCAGAATAGGAAGTCTAAGAGTCTCAGCATGATTTAGTACACTGCTGGCACCATGAGGATGGAGGGACTGTGTGTGGAGAGGTATGGACGTCTTCAAAGAGTTGAGGGGTGCTGACAGCCAGCAAGGAGATGTGGGCCTCAGTTCTGCAACTAAAAGATCTAAGTTGTACCGACAAATTCAATGAGCTTGGACACAAGTTCTCCCGTCAAGGGATTCCAGAGAACAGCCATCTTGGCTCTCAGTGGAACTTTGGCTTTGTGAGTCCATTCTAACCATGCCTGATCTACAAACTATGTGACAGCAAACAGCAAAGCCATGGCGATTTGTTAAACAACCCAAAATTAATATAACCATTCCATAACAGAAAGCGTTCCTTCAAAGATCAAATTCTGCCATCACGGTAGAAGCTTTTACTAACTCACTTACCGTTACGCAAGCCCTCCACAGCGTTTTCCTTTTTAGAATCTGTTCTACTGCCTTCCTTTCCAGTGTCCACGAGAAAACTGTCCAGGAAAGAAATTCCACCCAAATTTAAGTTTTACATTTGACAACAAGATTAATTAACATACTAAGAGTGAGAAAAGAAGGAAAAAAATGGAAATAAAGGTTTCGTAAATGGGGAGAAGAGCTGACGGGAGGGTAGAAGAATGGGAAAAAAAAGAACCAAGTTATATCATGCACAGGTACAAATTCTCTATAATGAATGTGATCACTATGTAAATCTAAAATGTACCAATAAATCTGATTAAAAAAATTAGTCCTAAGAGTGTACATCTTATAATACTTTTTCATAATAAACCACAATGATAAATAAATGAATTTACCTGTGAACAAAAAGGTCCATATCCATGCCAGTAAATTTATAAAAATCAAGAAAGTATAATAAAATACAATCAGACATTAAAGTTACATGCAAACTATCGTTTGAAGTTATGTTCTCAATTTGGACAACCATCAAATAAAAATGTACGCTGAGTCAGAAAATTACTTTAATAGTTATAAAATGGTTTTTACAGAATCAGTATAAAATAGCAGTTTGATTATTTCATAATTATCAGATTACTTAGACATGAGGTCCTGGCTAAGTGGGCTGAAATCCACACAAGGTCTGGGACTGCTGGCTCAGATATCATCCCGGAGATGTGTGTCATGCTTAGCTCTGGTGAGATGAGACCCGGTCCTTTAAAACAGTATCTCTCTTTATTCAGTCTTTGGAGGCTTGAAATGAATTCGGCAGCGTTCATTAAACACCTAAAATGTTCAAACAGAAAAAAAAGCACTGAATCACCCTATCTGAATCTACATTGAGTCTGATACAGTAGGAGGGTATTATCACTTTTGTTCTGGGTAAATAGATTTAACAGTTGTTCCCTCACCAGGCCAAACTGACTGGTGCTAAGGGTACAAAAGGCTTGGAACTCCATTCATGAGACAGTATTTCAGTATTTCTGTAAGACTTAAACCATACAAAGAAAAGTCATCAAGAGCCAGTAATTCAGAAATTAACAAATACTTCAGTTCCACTTTCTAGACATATTTTGAACTTCAGTTTTAAAATAAAACTTTTCTTTCTTCAAAAATAGATTTTGCTAAGATATCTCCTAAGTATGTATACTTGTTGGCTAAGCCAGTCTTTTGCTAAATTGCATGATTTTATATATTTCTTATTCAATTCACCTTGCTTCCTAAAAGTCACAAGCAGCACATCGAAAGTGGTAAAAGCATGTTCTATGACTAAATATTTGTCAATATAGGTCTGTATTAAGTAGAAGTTGTGGTATGGACACGTGCATTGGTACATGTCTGTAAAGCTAGTTACTTGGAAGGCCAATGCAGAAGGATCCCAAGTTCAAGGCCACCTTGTACAACTTAGATCCTGTCTTAAAAAGAGCAGGGATATAGCTCAGTGGTCGAGTAACCCTGGGTTCCATCTCCAGCTCTGCAAATACATACAGTACATACATATATACATATTTTGGTACATATATCCAATGAAATAAAATGCTTTAAAATAGAGTAAAGAAATTTCATATTCTGATATGAAACAGAATGTGGACAATACACTTCTGTTTGTATGACAAAGGGGGGATACACACATATATATTATTGTAAAAGATGCAAATATATGAAAGAATATACTGCATTTGCAGAGGGAAGGAGATGGTTAGAGGAGAGGGAGGAGAGGCACAATTTTTACTGTCTATCTTTTAATATTTAGAAACCTTTAAAGAAAAAAATTTGAGGGGCTGGGGATTTAGTTCAGCAGCATACACGCCTGCTTTTACAAATGCACAGCTGTGAGTTTGATCCCTGGTACCAACCCCCCCCCCCCCACAACTGAACCATGTGTCTAAACGTTTAAAAAGCTAGAAGAATTTGCAAGAATTTATTCCATACTCCACTGATGTTAAGAAACAAATCATTTTTAAGGTTCAAAAAAATTACTCATGTTGGGAGTTGCTGGTTGTCACATCAGAGGCAGCTTCTAAGGTACTAATTGGCATTATGAAGTTCTTCAGGACATACATAAATGCTTCTTTTATTAATATTCTTTAAACTCCTACATGTTACACCCTTTTTGGCACGTCTAACTCACAGTTAAAAGAAAACATTCAAAAAATTATGTAATTCTTTCTGGTCTTTTCATTTTATAACTTATTTCACCAAGCTCCCAGCTCTGACATTCCCAGAAGAGACCAGAAGAGACTTCAAATTAATGGCCTTGACGCACTGGCTGGCCTCTCCAAAGCCTTTTCCCAAGTGATGTCCTACTCACTTCCACTGGCCTACTGCAGTGTGGCCACATTTTCCTCTTTCTAAAACAAGACTTTACTTCCTGTGTAGGGAACAGAACCCACATTCTTTAAAATCTCAATGGGCCCGACATACAATGGTTTGACTTAGGATTTTTTAATTTTGTGATGCAATGTAGAAGAAGCCATACTTTCGTAAGTGAAATAAATCAATCTCCCATGTGTAAATACCATATAGTCTCCCTAGCGTAAGAAATGGTGAGTACATAAGATACAAAAAGCTCAATAAATACATAAATAGTGAAAGGATAAGAATCTGCTTAAAGGGAAAAAATAATACCTCAGGGAAAATGAGGAAAAAGAAAAAGGAAGGGAAAAGAAAAAATATCTAAAATTATATAAACACACAGGATAGCTAAGATGATTGTGCTACAAATACTATAAGTTCTTGGAACAAAATAGTTAACATTCATAGGACTGGAACAATTGTGCATATTATTGTATGGTGATCTGAGGAACTCTTGAAGATCATTATGTAAAATAACAATCTTAGTTATGCTCATACCACTTTGTTTTGAAGGCCTATACTGTCAATGTTTTGGGCTCCTTGTTATTTATTGTCTTTTTTTGTTTCATGTTTTTTTAGGAATTTGTTTTTCCCTCAAATACAGAAAGGATAGGTATACATGTAGAGACTCATACATGCATAGAACTTCTCCTAAACAGTTTATGAGAAACAATTATATAATGCATGATGAAATGAACAGCTACTTTGAAGAAAAAGAAACACTAAGGTACCCGATGCTGATTCCATTAGCATCATGCTGTGAAATCCAGCAATACTATTATTCTTTGTTCAGAGTGATTTTACTCTATTTTGTATTGTTTAATTTCAACATACATGAAGGTATGGACAGCTATGCTGAAGAGAATGAGAGACATTATGGCAGCCATTGTTGATTTCCCTATTATCTGGTTTTGAAGGCCTATAATGCCTTTATCATTCTGATCAGTTTAATACTATTTTGTTTTGTATGAATTCATTGTGTATGAAGATATGGACAACTATTTAGAAGAAAACAAGAGACAATATGATAGACAGTGAGGATCTCCTGTTGTCTTGCTTTGAATTCTGTGTTTCTCATATTGTTTTCTTCTGATATTTTGTTAGGTGTAATTTTACCCTCTTTAAAATAAAATTTAAAAAATTTTTAAAAAAAGAACCCATACTTAATATTTTTATCTTTGCCTAGACTAGCATTATGCAGTGACCAACAACAGATTAATGTAAGAATTCTGAAAACATCTAAGGTAGGCATAGGCTAAGTTGCAATGTCTGATAGGTCAGTTATATTAGATGCATTTTCACCTGGATATTTCCAATTTACCATGGGTTACATTGGGATATAACTGTATTTTAGACTGAAGAACATCTGAGGTGTCAAATCCAAACACACTTCACTCCTACAACTACATTTTACATGTATCACAACATCATGCACAAGGTTCTACAAGCCAAGTTCACTGTGCCCCTTGCCTGTTCCATTCTAAGGTTAGTACTACTTTTAAGGAAACAGAAATGGACAAATGTTGCCAAAAACCTTTCAAGCAGACCTTTTACCACCTTACCATGTTGGTAAAAGGGCGGGTACAGGAAATTTTAGCGGGTGAGATAAAGAAATGCGAGAAAGCAAAGAAAGTTTGTATTTGACACAATTTTTCCATGGCTCAGTATGTTGTTATAATTTAGTTTTTTTTCCCTCGATTGATTTAATTATTTAATGAAACAGGAAAACAACGTATTATGAAACAAACTGGTGGCGACAGTGGCCCAGGACAGGAGCCTCTAGAGTTTACTGGGACCTGAGCCATGCCGGGACCTGGAGCGCTGGGAACCAAGCAAACCTCTCCCACACTGAGAGCCTGTGAGTGTGGCAGGCTTCAGCAGCCCAGGATGGGAACCACAGGCGTTTACCGGGACCCACGCCATGCTGGGACCTTGAGCGCCTGGAAACCAGGCAACACCGCCCCCCACTCCCACCCCTACCCCCACCCCCACCCCTGTGAGCGGCTGTGAGCCTACAGGTGCTCAGGCTGGGAATCAAACATCACATCTTCCCTCTGCCCCGCTTAGCAAGTGGGAGCCAGTGATCTGGACATCCCTTGAGAGGCTGACCATAGACAATGTAGCAAATAGGGGGGATTTCCTTCTACCATCTCTTTGAAGGCAAATACTTTTATCCCTGTTTTGCTTTGTTCTAATTAATGGTGTTATTTTAGCCTGTTTTGCTTTGTTGAACTTCAATACACATAAAGTATGGACAGCTATTTTGAAGAGAACGAGACTCTATGACAGCCATTAGTAACTTCCCTAATGTCTGGTTTTGAAGACCGAAAACGCCTTCCTCATTCTGTTTGGATCACTTTAATACTATGTTGTTTGTATGAATTCTCTGCATACAAAGACATGGACAACTATTGGAAAGAAAACAAGAGACAATATGATAGACAGTAAAGATCTCAGGTCATCTAGCTTTGAAATTTATATCTCTTACATTGCTTATGTTCTGCTTTGTTGTGTTTAATTTTACCTCCTTTAAAATAAAAATTAGGCTGGTCCGATGGCAGTGGGCTATCAGAACTTATTAACATTAGTGTCACTAAAGTTGGTATACCACCCCCATACTGCTAAATTTGACTGGCAAAAAAAAATAAAAAATAAAGTAAAATAAAATAAAAATTAAAAAATTTATTAAAAAAAGAAACAAACTGGTAACAAGTAGTGGAGGATTTTTAATTCTATTAAAAACACTTAAAAATATGTACATACAAAAAATTAGACTATATACCAAAATTTCAAAAGTATTCTCTCTGTTTAGTGATTACTTTTCTCTTTGCTTGTGTGTATATGTAAAATATGGTTATTTCTGCAACAAACAAAAGGTACTGAAGTTATTAAATTCTACAGTTAGAATCCAAAGTCAACCTTGATGCCCAGCAGTCAAGTGCTGACACCAAAAAGAGACACAGTAGGGAGACAGCAGTCTTATCAAGCACACTTGACTTGTTTCTTGTTTTCTTACTGGAATACTACTTATCCAGTATTTCCTCTACATTTGAGGATCTCTGCATAATTACATTTTAATGGGATGCTGGTAATATGAACTGGCACAACAACAAAACAATGTTAGCAACTTAGTTTTAAATTCTAGTTTTGGGTTCAGTTAACTTCTGGAGTTGAGTACAACTCCACTCATTAGTTTCAAAGGAAAAAACACAATTTTCACTTTTTAGATTTAACACAGATTTTACTTTTCAGAAATCTTTTTGACTGTATATAGAATCCTGGGTACTGGTCGTTCAAGGTAGTGCCAAATTAGGGCCAAGTGAGTAGATATAAGGGAATGGGAATCTCTGAGTAGCTCTTTACTGGATGCAAACAAAGCTACACACAATAGTTTCATGATCAGGTATGCTAGAGGAAACTAACAGCATAGTTAATGATACAAAAATGTATGGTAAGTTAGCTGCATGGAATGCTAATTTTTAATAAATAGTCTTTCAAGGTTCTCAGCTAACTAGAATTAAAACTCTAGCACTACAACTATGTACAAATAAAAGTAAAAACTTTTTACATGTGGAATGTCTCCAATTCTACCACCATGGCACAGAATTCTACCATCTATCTATAAAGTTATCTATAATACTATGGCTTTAAGTAAGAAGAACGGCACCCCCATCCACTCCACAAAACAAGTGAGAAGGGCCAGGGATACAGTTCAGCAGCACAGTGCCTGCCTCACAAGCGCAAGGTCGTTTTCTTCAATCCCCATTATGATAGAGAAGGAGGGAAGGAGAGAGAAAAAAATCAAGCAAGCACAACTGCTGGCTCTCAGCTGCTTGTCAGGATGGCCTCTGCTATCCTCAGAGCCTCCCTGTACTCTTTACGACCCCTCTCTTGCAGGCCCTGGGCTAGTTCTGTAGCCTTCCTATTTCTCTGCAAGAATAGAACTACTTTATACCTTCCAACTCCTGTCATTCACCACTTCTTCAACATTCAGTTCTGACTGCATCCATTTCAACTGCAAGAAAAGAGAAAAAAGGAAGTTAGGAAACATAAAGAGCTAAAACAAAACATGTATTATGTTTTCCAAGCAAAACCAGCTGCTGCTCTTGGATCTTTGACTGTTAACATAGTGGACGTGCAGACTTCTTTTTGATACAACCTTTTCTCTCCAGGTCTAATCAAATGTTAAATTTTATTCTATTTAATTTTATTTATTCATTATTCATTTACCTATTAATCTTTTTGAGACAGGGTCTCACTATGCAGTTGAGGTTAGCCTTGAGCTCACTTCATAGCCCGAGGCCGATCTCCAACTCACAGTGATGATCTTCCTGCCTCAGCCGCCCCCGTGCTGGGACTACAGGCATGCGCCACCATGCCCGGCCTTCAAATGTTACATTTTATACAATGGTGGTTCTCAAACTTTCTTGATCATAATTACCTTTTTCTTTTTCAAAAATCCCAATGTCCAAAGCAGTTCAGATATACGTACAAGTGGCCAATAATCATTTATTTTTATAGTGATTGGAATGGAACTCAGGGCCTTTCCTTTGCTAGTCACTGAACTAAATCTCCAGTCTTACCATGCACATGCGTTGGTATGTGTGTGCATGTGCCTGGTGGTACTGAAAATTAAACCCAGGGCTTTGCATTGAGCTATAGTCCCAATCCGTTTTATTTTTTGTTTTGAGACAGTGCCTTGCTAAATTGCCCCAGACAAGGCTCCAACATAAATTTGTGATCTTCCTGCCTTAGCCTCCTGGAGTGCTGGGGTAACAGGTTAACTTCATTACACACTTGGCTTTTTATTATTTAAATCTAATCTCACTCAAGTATAAAGAAATACAAATTAGGTGTAGTGGCACAGCATGTCTATAATCCTTGCACTCTTGGAGGCTGAGACAGAAGGATCACAAGTTTAAACCCAGCCTGAACACTTTAGTGAGATCCTGTTAGAAGGAAACAACTGAGAGGAGGGAGGGAGGGAAATTAAATCATGAAATGATGAAATGAGGAAAAACAACACAACAAAGTCTAATAAAGCATAGTAACAGTGAGTGTGTAGGAAAAGATACACTTATACTGTTGACTGATAATTAACCAAGTAACTGATTTTGGTACTGGGGATTGAATCCAGAGTCTTCACACTGCACTCTCAGCCTTTTTTTTTTTTAATTTTGAGACACAGTCGTGATCAATTGCCCAGGCAAAGCTTGAACTTTGGATCCTCTTGCCTCAGCCTCCCAGAATGCTGGCCATGTGCCACCATGCCTGGCTTTACATCTTTAGCAGGAATATGAATTGTTGTTATTTCTGTGAAAAACTATTTGGATTTATCGGGAAGGTACATCCTAATGTTCCCAAACCCAACAATTCTAATTTTGTAAGTGGATTACACAACTACAGATCTGTAACGATGACTGAGAGGAATAAAAAAGGAATGAGGTAGCAAGCTGACTTGGCCAGGGAATTTTAAAAAAAGAATCTGAAAGGCAAATAAAGAAGGATGAAAGAGGATACCTACGTCCTAAATGATCTAGAAAGGTACAATTTCCCACAGTCTGACCAAACAGTCAGAGGTGTGAGACTAAGATGCTGTCTAACTTTCCTAACTGCTACTCCAGAAAAGCTGCCAATTCACTGCAGGCTTGATAGCAAGATCCATAATATTCCTAGTCACATCTGATGAACGGGACTTGGTAAGAAAGAAGCTAGCTAGTTCCTGAAGAGGCTTTGAAAATATTGAGGAAAATTAGGAAGAAAGCACGAACTGAGCTGGGCATGGTGGCTCACACCCGTAATCCCAGCACTCGGGGGGCGGGGGGAGGGGGGCCCTGAGGTGGGAGGATCGTTGCAAGTTCGAGACCAGCCTGGGCTACAAAGTGAGGTCAGGTCAGCCTCAACTGCATAGCGAAACCCCTCAAAAAAGAAAAAAGAAAGCCGAACTACAGACTGAGATTCCCAAAAGTCTAAAATTAGGATTATTTCTCCTGGCAAAAATCAAGAACCTAGGCCATATTCAGGAAGATGATGCCAAAGCTAAACAAGACCTGGCAACTGTGCATCTGATTCACAGGCCAGAAAAACGATCCAATTAAGAATATAGCTTAGGCATAAGGTTTGAGAAACCTGCACGTGACACTAACCAGAAGGGAACCTGGGCTCCTGTGAACTTCCTTCCTCAATTCTGAGCAAGCATCTGTGTCAAAACTCAGACACAGGGAAGGAAGGACTGTGTTCCAGAGGTTAAAAAACCATATAAACTTAGAATCATTAAAGCTTCTGTTTGACTATTCTATCAAAGTCTGAATGGACTGCAAAAGAAATAATTCCAAAAAAGGAAATGAAACGAACAACTTCAGTGGAAGAATACACTGATAAATGCCACTAAGACAGTCTTTGTAACTGCTCTCAAGTACTTAAAGGAATTTTGTACAGAAAAGGGCTTAGGCTGTCTTAACTTGGAAAGGCATTAGACTATATAACTCCAAAAGACTTAGATTATGTAACCCAGAGGGAAGATTAAGAAGTATCATTTACATATTACAGGGAAACAAGTTTTTGCAATACATAAGCAAATCTTTGAACCAGAACTATCCAAAAAAGAGAAAGTACTGACACAAAAGAAAATGAATCTTCTGCCCTCCTGTCCTTTAAGGAGTGACTAAAGAAAACACAGATTCCATTAGTTGATGACATGGCTGGTATTTTAGATGCTCCCCAACCCAACCATCCCCATCAGGGCCCCATAAAGTGTTACGCATCATAGGCAGGGCTTTTTCAGAGATGCCTGGATATAGTGAGTGATGCTGGGATTATGGATATGTGGTTGTTAAACCAGTCCACTGACTAATTTGCCATAGTTCTGGCTGTGGAGAATTGGAAGGCCCATCCTGTGTGTGGGAGGCACCACCAAAGGGTGGGTACCCTGGAAAAGATAAAAGAGAGAGGCAGGGGACCAGGATTCAGCTCAGCAGCTTAAGCGCACCTGCCAGGCAAGCACAAGTTCATGCATTCAATCCCCAGTACCTAAATACATAAATAAACGGAGAGGCAGCTGCTGCTGCTGCTTTCTGCCCTCTCCCGTGTATCACCTGCCCCTGGAGCCAGCTGAGTATGTGCCAAAACCTCTACAAACTGTGGGCCAAATAAACCTTTTTTCCTTAAACTCTGGGTGTTGAGTACTTTGTCTCAACAACAAGAAGAGTAACTAAGACAGCTGGTGATCTGATAAAGAGAACTAATTCAACAAACATAGTTTTTCAGACTCAAAAAGGAAGCAGAAAGAACTTCTTTGTACCAGCCAATATACTTGCCCTTACATATATAATTTAATCTTCGCCAAAATGAAAACAAAGGTTGTATGTATCCCATTTTATAGACTGAAATCTGAAGTTGCAGAGCAATTAATTTACCAGGTTACAAAGCCACCAAGGTAAATAGGATTTATTTCCTGTGAGCTTTACAATCCATTTTTCTATTTAGAACACTGTATATTGTGGCCGATTTATAATAAAATTGAATGAGTGCCACCAACAAACTGTCACTTCTGAGGTAGTTGTTTCTGAGGCTCTGGGTAATAAACAGGTAACCTTCCTCTGAAAGGCCACTGACAGGTGATGGTGGTTGAGTTCCAGCAAGGAATATGCTTTTTCTGAGCTAAAGATTCAGGTAGAGAATAGGACCTTTTAGGCTGGCATCGATGAATAAAAATACCATAGTTCACTAAAGGTAGCAGAATTTGACTATTAGTCACAATTTCAGGTAAAGAAACTGACTCAGTTCAGAGCTGGAAGTAAATGTGCCAGCTCTACCAGTTATGAGTTTGTGACTCTGGAATGTCAATTCATGTGTCTGAGTCTGTTCCTTCAGGACAAAAATGAAGATACAGAGATGGCACCTGGCTAACAGCTTTCTTTCTGATTCTATTATTCACAGACAGCTTGGAAAAAATCCCCACATTTCCTTATTTACTTATGTTTACTTACGTATGACTCATGTTTCCCTCCAGTCCTATGCATTATCAGGTTAGAGAGCAAACCTCACAATAACTCACTGATTGCTTTCAAAGCCCTTCCTTATAGGGATCACCCTATTGATTCTTTCAGGGTCCTAAAAGCAAAGAGGCATAACCAAGAGCTGAGCAAACTGTGGGACACTCCCATACACTCTTGCACACTCAGTGGTTCAGATTTTGAACTTTGCTCTACAATAATAAGAGTCACACTACTCTCTGACTTAATTTGCAGATATCGATTTTTTAGTTTCTGATTTAACAGCCTGACCCTGAAGTTTTCTTTAACACCCCAAGAAATACAAAACTCAAAGTTACCTTGACTTTGACCAGTTTTACATTAATGTGTAGGCCCTGATGCACACTGGAGGTAGGCAAGATGAAAATCATAGTCTAAGTTCCCATCTGAGGAACCTACAACTGTCTGATGAATGAGCAAGTGTGGAACACAGGTCTGAAGCAACAGTCATCCACAAAGAGCAGCCAAGACAGTGGCCCAAGTCTGTGTGTAAGGAGACACACTGCACTGGTGGATGACTGAGGAGGCCCAGCAGCCTGGCCCACCCATCTGTGGGCAGGCACAGGAAGGGGACCGCTCTAAACAAAACAGAAAGTTCACAACTGCTTGGGACAAAACATGTGCTTCCACTCCACACACTGGATGCTGTCATTTAACACATAAAGATGCGTAAGTCACCCACTGTGCTGTGCCATCTTCAAATACAAACAAAATTTTTCATAACTGGACAGTGGCTATGTAAGAGAAAGTCTCCATTCTTAGGAAATAACAAATGTATTCAAGGGTTACAATATGTTCAGCAAGCTCTCAAAACCATTCAGGAAAAGAATACGTTTATATGTGCATGCATGGGTGTGTGCTTGTGTAGAGTGGGAGGAAAAGACAGCAAGAAAGATTTGGAAGGAAGTAAAGAAGGTGAAGTGAATGAACCATAAAGCACGTGGGACAAAATGCAAGCAGTAAGAGAATATAGGTAAAGGGTACATAGGAGTTCCTTACACTGGTCTTACAAATTTTCTTCAAGTTTGAAATTACACAAATAAAAAGTTATATCTAAGAGTTCCTTCAAAAAAAGGAAAAAAGATACTGCATTTCACACAGTAAAATACAGTTGGCCTCTATGTCTGTGGGTTCCAATTCATGGACTCAAACAATTGGAGATTAAAAACATTCTGGGCGAAAAAACTGTACTCAAAGTATACAGACTTTATTATTATTTCCTTAACAATAAGTATAGTATTGACTAAAGTGACATTTACATTGTATTAGATATTATAAGCAACCAATAGGTGATTTAAGGTATAAAGGAGGGTATGCAAAACTATACCATTTTATATGAGGAACTTCAATATCTGTAGGTTTTGATATCACTAGTGGCTGCTAGGTGGGGTCCTGGTGACTGCTATATATCATAACTGTTCTATTGACATGTCACATATAAAGGGCTATAAAGAAACAGTTCTGTTTTAATGGTATCCTGAGATTCACTCCATATTTACATTTATGGGTAACTTGAGAAAATAAGCCTTCTTCTAACATATCTCTGGGTAAGTGCTTGCTATTTTCTTAAAAGTGAAAACATCACAGGGAGGCTGAATAAAGTAGAAAAAATGTAGCTTAAAAAGAGTCAAACATCTGTGACTACCTCTGCACAGGAGGGAAATAAATTATATACATTAAGATACTAATATATCTAACTACATTTAAATAGTACTGTATTTTTTTGGTTGAAGAGGATACTATCCTGAATAAATATCTGTATTATATTTCAGCAGATTTCTACAGGATGCCATCAGAGATAACTATTTTCATAATCACATTAAGAAATATTTCAGCAGGGCACAGCAGCAAGTGCCTATAATCACAGCTACTTAGGAGGCAGAGTTAGAATGATCCCGAGTTCTGGGCTAGCTTGAGCAATTTAGCTAGACTGTGTCTCAGTATAAATTTTAGGTTTTTGAGGAGTCTCTACACTGATTTCTATTATACTAGTTTACAATTCCAACAACAATGCAGAAGAGTTCCTTTTTCCTCACATCCTTGCCAGCATTCATTTTCTGTGTACCTGATAATAGCCCTCTGACTAGTGTAAGACGAAATCTCATAGAGTCTAACTCGCATTTCCCTAATGTCTAAAAATGATCAACACTTTTTTTCATGGAATCACATGGCAAAATATACTTCATCTGTTGAGTATAGTGGTGTACACCTATAATCCCAGGATTCAGGAGGCTGAGGTAAGAGAATTGCCGTAGGTTTGAGGCCAGCCTAAACTACATAATCAGATCTGGTCTCAAAACAGCAAAGGCCCTGGGTTCAACCCCAGCACTGGGGAGGAAAATGCTATTTCCATGTAACAATCCTTATTATTATGTACAGCAAATATACACCAATTAAAAAAAAAAAAGATCTGGAGATGGGAGTTTAGTGGTAAACCACTTAGCATATATAAGATCCTGGGTTCAAACCCCTGTGAGAACAAAAGGAGAAAGAAAAAAGAAAAAAAAAAAAAAAAAAAAAGAAGGGAGGGAGAAAGGGAAAAGAGGGGAAAGAAAGTTTTTTCTCAAGACTCAAAAAATAAAATACGGATATGATTTTCTCCATGGTAGTGGTTTATATTGATCATTTAACAGTGGGAAACAGACAAATGAATGGAAATAAAACATGAGTACATGCCTATTTTGCTTAAAGCTGCCATAATGCATCTGTTCATAAAATGCCATTAATTTATCAACTAACATCTAAATGTAATAAAATGAAGCTCACTAAAACTGAAGCCCTTAGGGGCTGGGGATTTAGCTCAGCGGCATAAGCACCTGCCTTGCAAGCAGGCAGTCGTGAGTTCGATCCCCGGTACCAATAAAAAAAAGAAAAAAAAAAAAACTGAAGCCCTTCAGTGGGGGCCAGGCCACGAGCTTGCAGCTCTGCACCACAGACATGGATGGTGGCATGAGCATCTGGGATTTGAAGAGCCCGTGAGGAATGCTGCCCTCATCCCAGCTGCCATGAGGGGAAGGGAGGCAATAAGGGGCTGCTTTGCTGAATGCTTCTAGGGTACAGCACAGGTCCCCACAGTGCTGCTCCCTCAGAAGGGGAGAGGGTGGAGCGAGCTTTGTGTACCTATTCAGGAAGCATGTGCTCTTTTCTTAAATGAAATTTATTGTTTAAAAAAAAATACCCAAAAGCACAATACTGGTCATGAATTTCTCCAGATATGGCGGTAATAAAAATGTAATTTTAGACAAAACAAAACACTGAAACACTAATGCCTTGGTCATTGTTTTTTTAAGTAATGACCATATCTTACTCTAAATTATGCATATTAAAACTGCTTTTTATTTTTTACTTATTCTTGCAGTATTGGGGACCAAACCCAGACCGCACACATGCTAGTTAAGTGTTCTACTACTGAGCTACATTCTTAGCCCTTTATTAAAATTTTGAGACAAGGGCTTGGTAAATTACCCAGGCTGGCCTTCAACTTGTGATCTTCCTGCCTCAGCCTCCTAAGTAGCTGGGATTTCAGGCATGTACCACCATGCTGGGCTAAAAAGAAAACAAAACTATTTTCAAAGCTATGTTTGAAAAAACTTTGCCTGAGAAATTTAAATTCTGTTAAACTTACCTTTGTCTGCTCTTTTCTAAGTTGCTTTAATAACGTTAAATCATCCAAATTCTTTTCTCTTTCTTCTCGGAGGTTGTTTACTACTGCTGAGGTCTGGGCTATACAAGTTTTTATGACTCTATCCCTACTGGCATGAGCAGCCATCAACTGAAAGAACAAAGGAATGAAAGGAGGGAAAAAAAAAAAAATCACATCAATTTATCACACTGCATTGTTAAAAAAATACTTATTTTGAGACTTCAGAAATTTAATACTTCTTAAAAATTGAGTTGATGGAAGAATGTGTTGAATCAAAAAAAAAAAATTCCTAGAAACAGACTAAAAGTAGGACCTTGGAGAAGGACGTATGAGGCTTGTGCTGTCTGTTCCTCATCATGACCCAGTATCACTGGGTCCTCTCTCCCACAGGGCTTTTCATTTCAGTCTCCTTCACCTCTGGCCTTGTCACTTCCAATTGCCCCATCAAGTTGTTTACCCTACAACACCCTCTGGACCACTTATTACTATTTTTCTTTTCTTTTTTTGACCCTTTATATATATATATGAGACATATATATGTCTCATGTTGTCAAAAGGGGAAGATGTTATAAAATAAGTGCTATAGGGAAAATTATAGTTACAATAAAGAAAAAGAATGCTAATTTGCCTATATAAGATGGAGCTCTTTCTAAGACTGTGAAGTGTAGCCATTGATAACAGTAACTTACATACAAAGCACAGATTAGTGGTGGCACCACATGTGTGTTGGCTCAAGGTAAGGATATCTGAGGGAACAACTCTGTAACACCCTCACTCTCAGTGTGACAAATCTGACAAAACAGTTCTCATTTATCTTCGGTACAGCTTGATTGGCAAAGTACAGTGGTCATGTTTTAAGCACACTTCAATCACAGCCAAATTTTGATGATACTCTAAGCATTTGCATTTGTAAAGCACTGTTTCAAGTTCATAGACTTTTTACTGTCAGTAATGACTTTTATGTTTAAATCTTTGAAGTAAAGAACATAACACTAGGTTGAAGGGTTATATGCCTTAATAAAAACGATCGTACTAGCCGGGCGTGGTGGCTCACGCCTGTAATCCCAGCACTTGGGAGGCTGAGGTGGGAGGATCATTGGGAGTTCGAGACCAGCCTGAGCTACAAAGTGAGCTTAAGGCCAGCCTGACCTGCATAGTGAGATCCCGTCTCAAAATAAGATAAAAAGATAAGAAAAAAAAAAAAAAAAAAAACGATCTTACTAAAAGTATTTTACTATGAGTATCTTTTGAGATTTGAAATTTCTAAAATTCATCATTCAGAATAACTTTAGATTTCTCTGAAGAATGGAAATATCTTCATTAGCTACAGAAGAAGGTTGGGTCAGGAACTAAAGTAACTCAGGTGGACTACTAAACAATTTGAACATTTCACAGACTTCTCAACTAAGATACTTTTTTTTTTTAATTTTTAAAGAAAATAAAACCAAACAGAATAAAGCCAATCAGAACAGATCAATAAAAGCAATATAGGACGACTTCAAAACAAGGTAACAGGAACAATATTTAAGGAACTCGAGGCTACTCGAGGCTAAAATAATAGTAGCAAATCCTTATATGCCAAAAAGTTAGCCCTTTATACATATTAGTTAACTTAATCCTCTAACAACCAAATGAGCTAGGTATCACTGTATTTCACAACACAGAAACTGAGGCAAAGAGAGATTACATAATGTATTCAAGGCTACCCGTCTAGAAAATAGCAAAGGTACTATTTATTCTCAATCTGAATCTATGTTGTTAATCATGATACCAAACCTGTAAATTAATAGGAAGACTGTAAATTAAAACAATAGTATAGATAATATATTAGTAGAGTAATAAAAGAGGGTATTACATGACCATAAATTTCTAGTTCTTTAATCAGGGATATCCAAAGAAACTAATTGAACTGTCAAAAACCTTCACAGTACATGAGGATCTCTTTTGATTACTGCATTCTACTCAGGAAGATCCACATCTCTAAATGACCTGAAACCACAAGACCCATTTGATCACTCAAAAAAATGATATACTTTAATATAAAAACAAAAAAGTAGCAATTAGTGCTCTGAATTGATATAAAAAAGCTTGTCCAAAACTGTTTTTTTTCATTTTTGAGAAATGCACTTTAGATTTTACATATTTTCATTAATACTATAAATCCAAACAGTAACCTTGTGATGGTAGAGCTAAAAATATCGAGTGTCATTTGAACTTCAGCTTTCAACTCGCTGAAAGAGTATGAGAGCAAACTACGAAAAATACAGGAATCATTACTCCTTCTGCTTTCGGACATAAAAAGGTAGTAAAGGAAGTAATGAAAAGATATGTATTTGAGAAAAGGCCTCAGGAAATGACAGTTTTTCTGTGGCTTTCCTTCTCTCCTTCTGCTCGTCTTCCTGGTAAGTGAAGGAAAAAAAGAAGATGTAAAAGAAATGAAGAGCTTTAGCCCCTTCTTACACTGACTGTCTGGCTACTTAAGACTGATTCATCAACATTTTAACTCTTGCTACTGTTCACCATTTTGCTCTCCCCCTCATTTCTCTAAGTGAAAGGATGCAAATTAAGGGGCCAAAAAATACTGCGTCCATTCTTTAGAACCATTTCTTCACAGATTTGGGCATAAGATCGCACATCAACTTAGTTTGTAGAAACCAGATCAAAATTTTTATATATCCTTAGATGTGGGAAAAGAAATAAGAAAATTATCATTCATTTTTCATAGTTTAGACATCTGTAAATGGATTCCTTGTTTTGGTTGCAAAGAAAGACAAAAAGAAGCACAAAAGAGAGACTCAAAAGATACACTTACAGATTCATAAAGCTGTTTACAGGTTTGGCTGGCATCAATTTTCCCTGCAAAGGAAGCTGTTGGAACCGTAGTGTTTAATTCATGTACTATTCTGTCATCAATTGTCCTCATCACCTTGAGTAATTCCTATATATATTTAAAATAAAAGAATATAACCTGAATGGAAAGTTAAATGATAGAAATTAAGTATTTAAGTAAAAAATAAACACTTCGATATTTTACAATCATTTAGGAGTGATAAAATAAAACTAAATATAATGCAATCATAAGAAGAAAATATTTATTACAAGGATGCGAGGCAGGTTATATAATGCTAACAGTGGGCACCAAGTCTGTCTCCATGACTAAACTCTGATTATCTTAAGAGTTAAGACTGTTTTATTCATTTAAGTTCCATTTGTTGGCCTGGTGCTTAGCAAACTGTACCTGTCTCTCCAACTCTAGTATACAATCAAAAAAGGGTTCTCCAACTCCAGCACAGTGCATTCTCCCAAACCACGAGAATAACTAACTACTTTTTGTATTCTCTCTTTACTGCTCATTGTAAATCACGGTACTAGACAGAACATTTCTGGAAAAATATACAAGAAACTATCAGTAGTCACTAATGCACTGAAATTAAACCATACTTTAGACTTCCAGGTTATTCTTTTCACTATGACTGGATACTATTTTTGTAACACAAATAATAATGTAAAATATGCTGTTGGAGAAAAAGTAAGATTATCAGCTTTCTTATTAATGGAACAAGTAGGAATTAGTTCTACCTTTTCTTAAGTAACCCCGGCTCACATTTCCCAAGCTCTCCCTGCCCCCAGGTTTTCACTTTCCCCTAGCCTAGCTCAAAAGTAATCCCAGCTGCTCAGGAGGCTGAGGCAAGAAGATCACAAATTAAGAGGTCAGCCTGGGCAATTTAATGAAGTCCTGCCTCAAAATCAAAATTTAAAAAATGGAGGGGTAGGAATGTAGCTCATTGTGAAGATCCTCAATTCAATCCCCAGTACCAATTACATAAAAAAGAAGAAAAGCCTCCAATCTCAAAAAGCATCCAAAAGAAAAATAGCACCAAGAGAGCAGGGAACTTCAAGACTGCTATACCACACGGTATACGTACTATGTTGTACTGCCTATACAACACAGTGTCTTCTCTCATCATTTCTGTGACAAGGCCACTTCTTCACACCTGTCACTACAGAACAGCTGGGCATCAGCTACATTCTTCTGCAGTTTACATAAATTCTTGGACAAGTTTCTAGCAGTCTACTCTTCTCTTTTTAAACTGTTTTAAGCTTAGCGAAAGTAAAAAGTGAAATAAAATCTTGATCATTAAAAACTCACCAAGAAAACAGAATTATATATTAGGAATACAATTACTGTTGAAAACATCCAGCTTAACATTCAATACTGACATGTATTAAAACTCTGCTTGGGATTGGGTATGGGCACATTCCTATAAGCCAAGCACTCCAGAAGCTGAGGCAGGAGGATCCCTCTGAGTTTGAGACTAGCCTGGGCTATAAAATGAGTTCAAGTCATCCTGAACTGCATAATGAAACCATCTTAAAAAGACAAAAAAAAAAAATTTTTTTTGTCTTTTTCCTTCTTATCAGTACCGGGGATCGAACTCACGACTGCCTGCTTTACAAGGCAGGCGCTTATGCCGCTGAGCTAAATCCCCAGCCCCCCAAAATTTTTTTTTTACTTGGCTAGGGGAGTGCACACCTATAATTGCAGCTCTCCAGAGGCTGAGGCAGGAAGGCTGCTGTGAGTTCAAGGCCAGCCTGGACTACACAACAAGACCATCTCAAAAAACAAAACAAAAACAAAACCAGAAAAACTTCACTTAACTCCAACATACTATCCTATTTCTTTTTCTTTTTTTTTGGTACCGGGGATTGAACTCACAACCTTGCATTTGTCAGGCAGGCACTTACGCTGCTGAGCTAAACCCCCCACTATCCTATTTCCTTCCTTTGTCTAACTTAAATTCTGACTGAAACCAACTCTCCTCATCTATTTGTTAAAACTTACCTTATGATTAAAGTATTACCTTTATGTTAGAAAATTAAAGAAACTTTTAAAAATCACTTTGGGACAATAATGTTAAGTGAAATAAGACATACAAGCTTAAATATTGCATGATTTCTCCTATATGAGAAATGCAAAGCACAAATAATTTAAATAACAAAATAAGAAAAATAGTAGGAAATGGGAATAGACCTTTTACAAATGGAAAGGAGATCAAAACATATAAAGAGGGGATCTAGTTATCTGAATCTAAAAATCAGACCCATCGTTTAGGTCCTAACGTTGTGCCGGTAATAGTATGAAGCCACCATATTATGGAGACTAGGCTGAAGGGAGGATAAGTTAGAAAAAGAAATAACGGAAGTCAGACAGACATGTTCAAAAGCTTGTTGCAAAATGCCAAGTCCTGAACAAAGCCAGTGGCACTTAACAATGGATCTTCCTAAAGTACCTCTTTTATCATCTTAACTCTGCTCAAAAATGACTCCTTGGATAGACATGGTAGTGCAAGCCTATTATCCCAGTACTCAAGAGATTGAGGCAGGAAGACTGATGAGATTCAAGGTCACCCTGGGCTACAGAATTCAAGGCCTCAACTGCATAGTGAGATCTTGTATCAAAACAAAACAGAGACTCAAAAAAAGAAAGACTCCCCGACACTGTTCACAATCTGATTGCAATCTTTGTGTGATCCCAATGTGCCCTGTGCAAATCCAGTATTTCATTTGATTTGCTATTTCCCTCTAATAGTCATGTGTCAAACAATATTTTGGTCAAAAATGGATCACAAAGCCAGGCATGGTGATGCACACCTTGTAATTTCAGCACCTGGAGGCTGAGGCAGGACTGTTGAGAGTCTGAGGACAACCTGGACTATACAATGAGTTTAAGGCCAGCCTGATCTCCATAGCCAGACCCAGTCATGAAAAACAAAAAACAGATTACAAAAATGATGGTAGACTTACAGAATTATAATGGACCTTAAAAATTCCCACTAACGATGATGTAGCCACTGTAACATCACAATGCATTAAGTAATGTTGGTAGGGATGCTAGTAAAAATACACCTATTGCACTGTAAGTCTTGTATTTACGTACAATATGTAGTATTTGACGATAATAATCACATCACTGGTTTATGTATTTACTGTTTTGTTTTGAATATACTCTACTTATAAGAGCCTCATATCCTGTTTATTGTACATCTTGAATGCATTAAAAGGTAGAGTGGCTGACATACATCTAAGCTTGTATTAAGTACAGACTGTATTTACACAATGATGAAATTACCTATTACGTATTTCTTAAAATATATCCCTGTTGTAAAGGGATGTATGACTGTACATTCGCTTTTGTGCCTAGTATACTATCACTTCTGTCTACCTAAGAACCAATCTATTGGCCACTTCTTGACTTCTCTAAACTCTAGAGCACTTCACTCATATTTTTAGTGCCTTCTCCATGTTTTACATCCTATATAGATTAAGTTCCATGTTCTGTATCTTGTCCCCTAGGATCTCCCTAAGTGCTTGGTTGCTGGTAGGAATGTCTCCCCAAAGTTCATGTAGAACAATTAATCCCCTAAAGAAAGACCTTTAGGGAGGTAATGAAGGTCAAGTGGAGGGTATAGTGGCACACAGCTACAGCCCCAGGTACTGGGAAAGATGAGGCAAGAGGACTGGAATTCAGGGATGGTCTGGGCAACATGGCATCTAGCAACATACCACCTGGGCACCTGGACAAAGTTAAGACCCCACCTCTCAAAAAAAAAAAAAAAAAACCTGGATGTGATAGTATATGCCTATAATCCCTACACTCTGGGAGGCTAAGGCAGGAGGATTATTTACCATTATTTAGGGCAATTTAGCAAGACCTTGTCTCAAAATAAATAATGATAATAATAATAAAGGGGTGGGAATGTAGCTCAGTGCAAAGGTACTGGGTTCAATCCCCAGTACTACAAATAAATAAAATCTTGAGCTAAATCATGAGTTGAAGACCAGCCTGAATTACATAGCGAGATCCTGCCTCAAAAAACAAAAAAATAAATTTTTAAAAAACCATTTAAAAAAGTCACAAGGGTGGGACTCTAACCTGATAGAACTAGAATCCTTATAAGAGAAATTGCTTTCCTTCTCTGTAAACACAGAAGCAGTAACGTGAGGAGACTATGAAAAGATGGTTATCTGCAATCAGAAAGAGGCCTCACCAGAAATCAACCCTAACAGCACCTTGATCTTGAACTTCTAGCCTCCAGAACTGTGAAATTAAATTTCCATTGTTTAAGCCACCCCATCTGGAGTATTTTGGCATGGCAGCCCTAACCAGGTAGTACTTAATAAATTTTTCTTTTTTTAATACCGGGAATGGAGCTCACGACCTTGCACTTGCTAGGCAGGTGCTGTGCTGCTGAGCTATATCCCCGGTCCCCCCAATAACCTGTTGAATAAATGTTAAAATGGATTCCAAGTACTCAATATTAAACACTCTTTTTTAAAATTTCATTTCGTAAAAGTATTTTCTAGGAGTGTGATCTAATTTTTAAGTTGGAAAAAGCTTAAAACCCTAAAATCTTTTTTAAAACTTTATATACAACTATACGGGAAAAAAAATCAGAATGATTATCAAAGAAGGGGGGAGGGCAGAAGTAGAAACTAGGAAGAGGCCTGAGGAAACTTTGGAGGCGATAACATCAGTCTCTGCTGATGAATATTTGTGTTACAGGTGTATGTCACTGTCAAACTCTTTGACCAGTACTCCTAAAGATTTGTGCATTTCACTGCAAAACTTACCTCTCCAAAATAGTAAACAGATACTGAACCATAGTTAATGATATGCATGCTAACATATTTAGGAGCGAAGCATAATAATATGTTGGTGTTTGCAATTTATCTTAAAATGCATGGAAAAAAAGACTGATAGATGGATTGAAAGATGGATAAACAGATACGGTAAGAGCAAATATAGCAAATTTATTAATTGGAGAAATCTCAATGGTACCTAGATGTACACCGTACAATTCTTTCAACTTCTTTATAGTTTTATGAACATTTTCATAATTTTGATCAAAAAAAAAATTCAACATAATTTTGTTTCTCTTCCACGGTATTCAGTGTAGTTTTTCACATTCAGGATGCTTACATACAAAATCCAACAGTTTAGTAGCTTACAAATATACAAATTTTGATTAATACCTTGTAAGAATACCAATCATGTAATTTCACCAAATTCATCTAAATTTAAATGTCATATTAAAATTTTAATTTACATGTGTGTGCGTGTTTTGAGACAGGGTCTCACTATGCAGTTCAGGCTCGCCTCAGACTCACAGTGAACCTCCTGCCTCAATCTCCCAAGGGCTGAGTTTATAGCACCCTCAGTTACGTTTCTCTGACTCTGAGGGAATAGAGGCAAATATCATTAATATCCATTTACAAGGCAGTTAAATAATATTCCTGGCACTACGGAGACTGAGGCAGGAGGATTGCCAAGAGTTTAAAGCCAGCCTGGACTACCTGGCGATTTCAAAGTCAGCCTGAAAGAACATAATAAGACCCACGCTCAAAAAACAAAACAAATCAAAGGAACAAAAAAGATGCTCCAAGGCCGGCTTTAGAAAACTAGATATTCTAATTCTACTTGGGATAGTCTCCACTATAAATCACACATTTGGAAAAGTCCTAGAGAAACTTCCTCCAGGTCTCACTAATGAGATTCATTTTATGATCCTTGAATGTTTTATCAGATCAAAGAGATCCTATGAAATTTGCTCTTACAGGTTAAATAATTACAAGATGGAAACAATGTTAAAAGTCACTTAACACAATCTTATTTTAGAGATTCACGTTAATTTCCAAAGGGGTTAAGTGACTGGCTCAAGATCACAAAGTCACTAATGACAGAAACCCTAAGAGAGACCACAGTAGGCATCTAATTCCCTCATTAGTGCGCTTCCCTACAGAAATTAAAGCTGCCATAAGACCATAAATGGGCTGATTAACCTTGAGTATTTAATAAACGTTGTAACCCAGATTTTTTTCTATACTGTAAAAAATTTTCTCAGGTATTTGTATTTACTGAATATAATGATCACATCTGAATTGAGTCGCCATTGGTTTTCATCTATCCCTATCCCAAAGAGCAGCTGAATGAAGACAGTGCATTTAATGGTAGAAAGACCCCCATATAAATTCCTTGGCCAAATGCTGCTTGTCAAGTCATTCAGTCTGTTGAAACTGTAAAGAATAACACTACCTACAAACCATTCAGAGAACAAAGCTTAGATCAAAGACATGTGAAACGATTTTTTAATATATCTAGTTTAAAACACCATTTTAAAAGTCATGACTTTTAAATTCATTTCTGTAACTAGATGTCAGGGCATTTAAGCCTGCATCATGACAACTAGTTTCACAGCAACTGAATAAAAAACCAGATTTGGTTCTTGAATTCATGAGACTTCTGATGTTTGAAAATTTAAAAAGACAGCTTTTTTCTTAAATGTTTCATCTTCTCTAAGGGTTAGGAAAGTAATAGTCCTAGAACAGGGGATACAATTAGGCCTCTAAGCTTTCAAACATTCTCTTACCAAGAAACTGTATCAAGTGTTTTATTTAGTAATCAAAGAATCTTTCACTTTTCTCCCTTCCCCCCAAAACTCAACTTTAAAAAAAGAAGAGAAATAACAAGGGCTGGGAATCGAGTTTAGGGAACTGCTACCAGATAACTACAATCCTTGCCCACGGAGCTAGAGTTCGGATTCGCCACTGCAGAATGACCCATTTTCCCAGCCAAAGCCTGGATTGCACAGGAAGAACTATGACCCCCGAACCTCCTTCCCGCACCGAGCAGCTTCGCTTCTCAAGGCCAAACTCGCGCCCCCCATGACCTCCAATGGCTCAGAAAAAGAGCCTTGCGCTGCCAGCTTTTTCCATAACAGGCCTATACTCTCCCCAAGGCCAGAACTGCAACAGGGTCTAGGAACAAATGGAGGGCACGCCTGTCACACGAGGAAAACCCCATCACCTGGAATTCGGCGAACTCCTCACAGTTCACACCGCCACTGGGCGCCGCCATATTGGACAAACGCGAGGACCCAGCCGCAGGCCAATCACCGCGGAGCATAGGTGTCCGCGATGCCGCCTGACCGAAAAAAGAAGTGGAAGCTAAAGAGTTATAAGCAAGATAAGTCTTCGTGGCTCATTCACGTGGAGTCTGTCACTCTGCTGTTCTCACTTCAGTCTCTTTAACGTCCTTCTGGAACTGGCCCACACACGGACAAAAGACTATTAGAACTTAAAGGGTCGTTTATTTCAGACCCATCTCCTCACAAAAAGGGAAACAATCTGGTTACACCGAGTCGTTGGAAAATGAGCCCTTTTTTAGTCCTTCCCATTTTCCTGGGCTCCATTAAGAAACAGACCAGTAAGAGGCGTCAAGAAACCAGGGTCATTTCTAGAACGGGTAAGAGGTGGAAATGATTAGACGTTTTAAGAACATTAAGAAATAGAGAACCAAATGAAAAACACGGTAATTTCACAGGTTAGCCTGTCAGACGCTCCAAAAGCGATCGAGACCCGGGGCTGCTGGGCCCAGAATCCAATTCTCTTGATAAAAGCATCAACTCGATGAAAGCACTTGGGATACTGAAGCACTGGCTTATATAGATGACGTACTTCAGTCTTACAGCTCATAAAACACCATCCTTCTCTTCCATTTTTCCTCTGCACCGACACGGAAAACGACACTAAGCCTCCGCCCCTGAGGAGCTGGCCTCAAACTGGGCTCTGGTCCCGCGTCCGCGCTTGTCGTGCACGTACCACACGCCCCGTGCGTCACGCACGCACAAGGCAGGCCCCGCCCCCGCGCACCGCCCCCGTCCTTCCCACGCCAGCGCTGGGTGACTTTGAGCTTGCTAGCGCCGCCGCTGCCGCGAAAGGTTTTGTGCAGTCGGCGGAGCGGGCGGCCATGGGGATCCTCCGAGGCCTTCGGCTAGCGGCAGGTGAGACGCCGGCCGGCCTGGGGGCGGGGGAGGCCGCCGCGCCGCTACGGCTGGGGGAATCCTACGGCCTCGCAGGCCCTGGAGTTGCTTGTTTCCGCCGCCCACTCCGCGAGTGGCTTGGAGTGCTTTGCTGGCAATAGCAGGAGAGAACTGGGGCAGAGCGAGCCGCTGCTTAGCAGACCCTTAGAGCTGGCCTGTTACCCTCCCACCAATTTAAGGGGCTCTAACTGCTTCCCTCCTTACCTCCTTCTCCCTAGCCTCCAGTATGCTGGGTCCTTTATGCATCTGCTGCCCCTGGGACGTCACTCTGCTTTCCATCCCAACTTTCCCCCTGTGTTAGCCTATTTCTCTACGCTTCTCCTTGCCCCCCCCCTCACCTGAAGAGTTTATCTCATCTGCCAGAAAAACGTAGATCTGAAGTTTCTCCACTGTGTATGTATCTGAAAAGGGAAAGGAGTTAATTAAGTGCTTCGAGGGAAGGTGTCACGTAAATACCAGATCACCAGTTTGTTTTTGCAGTAAACATTTACGTATGATATTTTGGAATCGGGTGATTCGCCTTGAGGAAACCAGTAGAGCTTTCTAGGAATAGGGGCTGAGAAATCGGAGTGCTTGCATCTCTACTCTTGTAGATACCCGAGCAATTTACTATTTTTGTTACCGTTATGAGCTTTGAAGAGATGTAGTGATCTTTTGTTTCATAGTACCAAGTTTTTAAAAAAGTTGTTCAGTTTAAGTTTTTTAGAATTCTTATTTTATGGTATTGGGTATTGAATCAGGGCATTGTGCGTGCTACGCAAAGCACATTCCCAAACTCAGTTTAAGGGTCAAAGGAAGAATATCTCTAAACGTTACTGTTGACCTAAAGCAAGTATACATTGTAAATATAAATGAAGCAATACAAAAATATGGTAAATGTCGAGTAGTTTCATATAGCCAAAAAGAGGGGAAGGGGCTATGTGAATTTATCTTGTGTTACGGTGGAGATTGGACTGCAAAATGTATCACAAACTAGAGGTTATTCTTTTAATCACAAATATCCTCTCTACCAATAAAAGAAAAACCTCAATGCTATATTTTACTTCATTTGATTTTGTCAAAACTATCTCATGTCTAACTTTTTTGTGCACATCCTGTTAAGTATTGCACAGCTTTGTAACCAGGCAAATGTAAGAATCATTGCTCTGTAAAAAGATTAAAACAAACCGTGAAAGCATATTGGACTGCTAAGAATTAAGACTCATAATTAGTTACTCTGTTTGCCTTGACACTATACTTAGTATCATGGAAATTTTCAAACCTTTGTGCAGACTTCTGATACTTCAGAACTTTACTATTGGTCATTTAAACAAGACAATTCACTGTGCAATTTACTGTTTTATGTTACATAGACAAAAGTGGAGTGGTTTGGTTTGGTTGTTTTGAGACAGGGTCTCAGTATGTAGCCCAAGCTGGCCTTGAATTCACCCCTATCCTCTTGCCTCATCCTTCCGAATGCTGAAATTACAGGCTTGCACCATTGTGCCAGGCCAAGTAACAAATTTTTAAATCATACTAAGAATGTTACGTGCAGCTGGGCATGGTGGCACACGCCTATAATGCCAGCACTCTGGGAGGAGAAGGCAAGAGGATGCATGTTGGAACCCAACCTGGGCAATCTGTGAAACCATGTCTCAAAATTTAAAAGAAAAAAAAAAAAGAAGAATCTTACTTCACCGGCTCTAAATGATCTGTGCATGTCTGACATGTTTACCTATTTTATACCTGAATGCTTTAACAAATGTTACTTTATTCAATTTCTGATGCCAGCCCTCTCAGGCAAGTGTTACATCTCCTTCTTATAAATGAAAGCGCATAGGTCAGAGACTAAATGACTTGTCCAAGATCATTTCATCAGGCAATATGAGAGCTAAGAAGAGCAGCAGTGCCCTCCACTTCTGGATCTGTGGTCCCTGCCATCATTGAAGCTGCCCATTACAGATAGGCGTGTGCAGCTAATTGTCACAGCCAGGTGGGGCTTATTCATGTAAGTGGAGCTCATGAAATACAGGTTTACTTATGAAATAGAAACATGCATTCAGGTACAAGTGGCTTTTCAAGAAAGAAGACTCATTTAATAAGCAACCTTAGTCAAAGGAATAATAGATCAAATGATGTAATCTAGGTATACTTTACTTATCTAGAATGTTACTTGGAATAAGATTTTCTTGGTGCATGACTTTTTTTTTTTTTTGAAGTCACTACATAGCCCAGGCTGGCCTTCAACTTGTGGCTATCCTCCTGCCTCAGCCTCCCACATGCTGAGATTACAGCCACATGCCACCAAAATTTGATGCTTTAAACAATGGACCTTTATTGTTTCCATTGGAAATCTTTGCTGAACTCCTTTAGCAAACAATATAGACTTCTATGATCTTGAATTTGTTTATTGTGTTTAGGGATGGTTGTAGGAACAGATAAGGGTTGTTAATTTGCAATCCTTGCACAGCTCCACGGATGAAACACTGCGCAAACTTCTGAAATTATATGCAGATTTTATGATTTTATGCTTCTTAAGAAAGACAGTCCAAAGCTTTAAATTCAGAGCAGTCCATGTTCTTTGCATTAGGAATAAAATGACTGCTGATTCACACTGCTACAGTGAAGAATGAGTCTATTTTCTTCAATACTTATGGCTACTTCATTGTAGATAAGCAATACATATATGTGTGTGTATATATATATATTTATTAGGTTAGCATAGTTTTATTAAAGATAAGAAAAGAAACATTCTCTGCAGAGTGTGTCAGGACCAAGTGAAAGCAGGAAAAGAAGTGCACCCTGCAGCACGAGGGTGGCCCCCCGTGCAGGAGAGAACACAGAGCTCTAGCAGTTTTCTCACCTGTTTGCTCCTGAAAGTAGAATAGAGTAGAACATTGTGTCTTTCTGTAGGATGATGAGTAGGTCAAAAGAATGGAATAGCCTTAAAAGAATGTTTCTTAACACTTTCAGAAAACTTCCGTTGCCCCAAACTCCATTGATTGACTGGATTTTAAATGTATTTATTATTACTACCAATGCAGTGGGCTGTGGGCTGCCTCCTTGTCAGTTTAGCCCGTAGCCTGGAGCATTACAGTCAAGATGTGTTTTAGAAGTCATACAGTCCAGTCCCTGGTTTTTGTTTGTTGGTTGTTTTGTTTTGTTTTGTTTTGTTTTTGTCTTTTTGAGGCTAGGTCTCACTGTGCGGTTCAGGCTGGCCTTGGGCTCACTTTGTAACCCAGGTTGGTCTCGAACTTGCAGCGGTCCACCTGCCTCAGCCTCCTGAGTGCTGGGATTACAGGAGTGCGCCTCCATGCCTGGCGAGTATCTGGTGTTTTGTAAATGAGGTAAATTGTGACCCAAGAACAGAAATGATTTACCTAGGGTCACATAGGTACAAAGTCACAACACCACTTGGCTCCTATTCATACTTTATTTTACCACATCTTGCCCTGTCATTGTGCTTCATTTGTTTTTGCTCACCACCCCAAATGTAAACATGCCCATTTTAACTATTGCCATCTTTGGCTTTGCTTATTCACTCCTCTGTGTTTTGCCAACAGGTTTTTAGTGAGCAAATATCCTGTGCCTTGTACACTGTGAGATCTCTGAAGTAAATTAACTATGCCACTTCCTCTTGCTGGTTTATTACAGAGAATAAACCATCCTGTGTAATGCTCCTCGAGAGCCTATACGAAGCAGAATACATTAAGTTTTAGATTATAGAACTGATTATAAATCCTACTGCCATGTCCTGGAGCTGTCTCCTGTTATGTTGCATATATGTCCTAACATTTTCAAGTTGGTAATGTTATATTGGGAGTTTGAACTCTATAATGGTGCAGGTTTTGGGCAAGCATTATGGGTAAGTCAAGGCCCTTCCCAAGAATCAGTACACTACTGTCTTCAAGAATTCAGAGAGAAGAAAAGTCTTGCAATACGGTAAGATTGTCAGCTAAAGGCTCCACTGAAACAAGCTGTGATGCTGACATGAACTTAAGGTAGGAGCAGTAAGGAGTCGGGAGAGAGTATGAGAAAGAAAGGACACAAAGGAGAAAGGATCACCTTGGGTTTTGATCAGGAGGTAACAGGAAGTAAGGTGTGGCCTTCTGAGGAGTTTGAACTAAATGAATTTGGATTTTTGAAAGAAGCCTCCAAGCAGGAGAAATCATCAAGCAAATTCACAAGGCAGCTGCTTACAAGAAGGTATACTGCTTCCTGCAAAAATGTTACAGTCCGTCCATGAACCAAGTGATAAGGGAGATGACAAAGGAATATGTCTAGGAAGTGTCTTAAATTATTACTATGAGTTTGGGGACAATGGCTAATTTAAGATAGGGCCTAAAAAGTTTTTGGGGTCCACAGTTTAGCTTAGCAGCACAAACACCTGCCTGGCAAGCACAAGGTTGTGAATTCAATCCTGGTACCCAAAAAAAAAAAAAAAAAAAAAAAGTCAGTAAAAACAAGTGTTTGAGAACAGAAGACTGTAGAAGTATTGCCCCATTGTCAGAAATAAGGAAGCTGGGGCTGGGGGTTTAGTTCAGCAGCATAAGCACCTGCTTGGCCAACACAAAGTCATGAGTTCAATCCCCAGCACAAAAAAAGAAAAAACATTCAAAAGACTCATACATACAGGTGCAAAGTCCTAAAAATGTCTGGGAAAATCTAGAAATAAGAAAGCTGGGAAAAGAATGAAGAATACTACCAAAGATTATTGTTAAGTTTAGCACAAAAGATAGGCTATTGAGTCCTAGGTAGCACTGAGTCATATTGGTCCATGATGAAACTTCTTGGGAAGACCTGAGGATGTAGGAAAGTAAAGCTAAGGAAACCATCGGTGTGGGGCTGAGAACTAAAAAGCAGCAAAAGTCTCCCTTTGGAGGCCTCCCACCTAGTACACGTGTTGGAAATGGCAAGAGGACGTTGGAGAAGCTAGAGCACAGAGATTGGAGGGGAAGCGAGAGATATGGCAGACAGTGTAA